AAAATCAATCGCCAAAGGCGCTGGCCGCCAAGTTAAGCACTATGGAGGATAAGCTGAATAAAGTCTGTAATGGTATTAATCAAATACAGGGACGAATGTACCAACAATATTTTCAATTTGGAAATGCCAATAATGTGGATGGAAAGAAACAGACTAACAATCTAATTGTGGTTGGCAACAATTGTAATTCAGATCGTCTGCAAGTGGTCTGCGACTATGGGCGTTGGGTGCAAGTAGGCAAGTTTGCAACTTCAACCAGTGAAGACGATGTCATTGAGCACTTGGCAGAAGAGCTTAAAATTAATAAGAACTTAGTTAAGTGCACTAAACTAGTGAAGAACGATGCAAACTTATCGCAATTATCATATTGCAAATTTAAAATTTCTATACCAGATTATCGCTTCAGTGAACTGTTCAATGAGTCCATTTGGCCCAGGTAAATATATAAAATAATAATAATTAAATAAATTAACAATTGTAAAATATTTAATAAAATTATAATTTATTTTAGCGGCGTTATGGTAAGCCCATTTACCCCACGTTCACAGTTGAACCAAAATCGTATTTGAAGGAAAAAGGGGCAAAAGAAGGGTAAAAGTCACCAACCAGACGAGCAAACGTGTGAAAGAGATGGCAAGTAATGCACTCCTTGATAATATAAAACATATGAAATGAATCTGTTGAAGGTGTAGTGAAGTTAATCGTGATGTGTGTGTGCATGGTTGGGGACTGGGTGAGTTAGGCAAAGTCGCTGGCAAATGAAATTTTAAAACTTTTTCTTATAAAACTTCAGCGATTAAATAATAATTCAATTTACTGAAAATATATTACAATGTTTATCCCTTCTATTCAAAAATATTTCAAAATAACAATTTATAAAATAAAAGCTTAACAAGATTTAAAAATGCATTTCAAATATTTTAGAATTGAAACTTAAATTATTAATGAAATTAGCAACTTACTCGTATATGTCGTATATTTACACCACATTAAGCAAAAATAAAAAACAAAAATATAAAATATAAAACATTTAAAAGATTTTAAAGAATATTTAACCTAAAAAGAAATAAAACGATTTTCAAAACACATTATAAAAAAAAAAAACATTTTTAAATCAACAAAAATTATAAAACGAGAACTTTCCAAAGATTTTGCTTTAAGTAAATATTTTTCAAATTATCCGATTATAATTTTTTTTTTCTATTATTAATATATAATAACTTTTAAAATTTCTATTGACATTTAAACAATAAAATACAAAAAAAATATAAAATTAGATAAATTATTTTTACTTAAGACTTAATTTTATTTTTCATATTTTAAGCTCATCTATGTTCATTATCTTTGCAAGTATTTAACTGGAATTTTAAAACTAAAGCTTTTATAAATAAAAAACAATATGAATGCATGAAAAAATAATGATTTAAAATTATAAAATATTATTCAACTTTTAAAATGAAAGAAATACATATATTTAATATTTACAATTTATTCTCTTACAAGTTAAAATATGAATTAATATATTCGCAAGCGTAAACAAGGATAATGGCAAAATTATTTAAGCAACAAACACAAACAATAAATTTATTATTAACAAAACAAAATGTAGAATTTAGAAAATTTTAAAAGCTTTTCCAATATATAAGAAAACAAATTTTTCAAATTTTAGAAACTACCGATATAAAATTTAAATGAATAAGATAAATTCGTTTTTGCCACATTTCATTGTCAACATAAAAATGTCGAATACAGTTTCGAAATATTCTCATTTAATATCATTTATAAGATATGCATTAAAAATTTTTACATTCATGTAAACTTTATAAAATTTATAAAATTTTATGTTTTTAGTAAAAAAAGTGAAAATACATAAAAAATTAGTTATTTACCCAAAATGTATTTAGTATACAAACAAAAAAAAAATCAATATGCATGCATGTATTTATGTCGAATTTTTAATAAATTCAGAAAAATATACAAAATATGTTTCATTTTTTATTGTATTTACTAATTAAGGCTTATGTAGGTTAGGTTATGCTGGCAGACAAACTATGATAATATTTTATGGAATTTTAACTAAATCACAAAATATAAATATGTTATTTTATTGTTTTTAGGAATTATCATTTTTTATCTGAGAAATAGGTCAGTATGCAGTTATTAGTATATATATGTTTATCGGGAATATACTATAAACTATAAATCAATCATATAAAATAATAATATATGTTTATTTTTAATATTATGTTTATACTTAATGAGATTTATATCAACAAATAAAATTTTTTTTTTTATTCTAGAAAGATTATAATTAATTTAGGCTTCAGGATAAATATCAAACTTTATATAAAAATAAAATATAGGTATTTTATTAGAGTTTTATAAAGCCAACGTTTCGTAGTTCTTTTGACTTCTTCCCCAGTGCGGGTTATTTGAAATTATTTTTTAATTTTTACATTTAATAAATAAAATGAGTTAATTTTTAAGAATGCATAGATGTATTCATATAATAATTACGAAATGTAGCTACCTGCACTGCCCCTAATGTTACGAATTTGTTTAACTTCTTTCCTCAGGTCGGGTTTTTTGAATTATTAAATATAATAAATTAAATATTGAGTTTATTAAACTCAATATTTTATTTTTGAATGATATATAGAATTAGTACGAGCCGTATTAATTTAATAAATTCAATCAGTCCATTTTTAATAAAATATAGGCAGTGTTTAAATTTAATTAATGCCTTAATATTAATTATTTTATGACAAACAATTTTATACCATGTATTGTGGTTTATTGAGTTTTAAACAATAGTTTAAAGTAATTGACAAATTAACCGAATATGAAACTATATTAATTCCTAAATGTGAATAGTTCAATTAAAATTTTGGGGAATATATATAATAAGTTTTAACTGCAAATAGGAATGAATCTTGATTGAAATCTACTAGGCAATAGAAGAAAAGGAATATGCAAAACCCTACTGTTAAAAAAAAAAGATAAAAAACAGGGACAGGGTTATAACGGTGCGAAGCGACTATCATAAAACCGCAGACGATTCGGATATTTTATTGATGCCCAATTCTTCTTATGTATTAGAAGATACTGATGTTGTAGATTTATTATTAATCAAATGAGTCAACACATTTGGATATAGACATAGATATAATGAACATAGTTTAACATAATCATTGAATGATATATTAATCTTTACATAATTTAAAAAATAAGCTTGTTTAATATAGGATAATGAAACATGGTATCTTATATGTTTTAGATAGAGTAATCATTTGACCTCTTTTTGAACGGAACTGTACTATTTTAAAGTTATCTGTCCTAAAATAACATGAATCGTTATGTTTTTGGAAGATGTTGCAAATCTGGGACTTTTAAAATATATACAATCATTTTACAAATCATTACATCAGCCTTGACGATTCATAATCTATGTTTAAAAATCTGCGATTAACTACACGAAGTGATTCTAATCAATATTTATAAAAAAATATACTGTACATAACGTTTATGTTAACAGTTAATGAAATAACTACCGTCATTAAAGTGTTATAAATCAGGTTTATGACTGGCCATTACCGGACAGTACGACCTAGCTATATAATGTTATATATAACTATATGAGTTAAAAAAAGATTTAATAAAAGAATAAAATAATTTAAAATAAATTAAGTATGGTGAAATCAAGGAGCTGAAAGTGTTCGAACATTATGAATCTCGAGTATACCTAAATTGAAACATTTGAATCGAACAGCTGATATAGTCTGTGTAACCACAAACATTAAAATGTTCGAAGCTTCGAACAGTTGGAATTATATTTTAAAGTCTAGGTCTAGTCTAGTAGTCTATTATATCGTATAAATAAATCATATATTGAAATTTAATCTTCGAAATATGTTTATCATAACAATTATCATGTATGTGTATCATATCATATTTTTATTTAAAATCTAAATATGTATGATGATCATTGTGATTAGGTGCAAATATCATAATTTGTGTATGAACGATACACCTGGCACAGATATTTGAAACATACAATATAGTGCTGGAATAGTACCTGCTATTTGAAGGCAGTTATTAATAAGGCTAAAACAAGTTTTAATTCATTCAATATATTTTTGTAAAGACTTAAAATTATAAACTTTAACTTATTTATATATCTTTTTATAATTAATTTTGATGCTCTTTTAATTATTCCAAAAGTTGACAACAGGAAATAAGCAAACAACTGTATTAAATTAATATACCATATGTACATAAAATTAATTTTAGTGTCCAAAAAATGTCTAAAACAACTAAGTCGATTTATGCAAACAAGGAAGGCAAGGAAACGAGAGCACAAAAAACCCATAATATATTTGAAAGTATATTCCGAAATTTTTCCGGTTACGATCTTAACAATTTCCAAAACCTTTCAAATTTTACGAATTGGTTAAATCGACCAGTGGATTCATCAGCTTTGGCTGCATTTCGTATATTCTATGGTAAGCTTTATATTAAATATATTAATAAATTATATATATATCATATTATATATAATAAATTATATAATATTATAAAATGTATTAAATATTTATTAAATATATAACATCGAAATATATTAATGTTATGTTTATATATCGTTAGGTGCTGCTATGTTAATAGATCTTGCAGAGGAACGTGGTGGCGCACAACTTGATGTACGATTTGGTGAACCACAACATTGTCATTTCCCACTTTTCAATTTCATATCAGCAGCTAGCCTACCAATTATGGGTTGTTTATATATTTTAATGTTTTTGGGTGCTATGGGTATTATGTTGGGTTATAATTTTCGATTAAGCTGTCTAATATATATAGTACCGTATTGGTATATATTTTTATTGGACAAACCTGCTTGGAATAATCATAGTTATCTATTTGGTTTGGTGGGTAGCATACTATTATTTACACAGGCAAATAATTGCTAGTAAGTTTAATTTCATATACATTAATTAGAATTTATAAAATTTTTTATATCTTTCAGTTCATTGGACAAATATAAAAATGCATCTTCAACCGATACTGTACCTTATTGGAATTATTTTCTGATTAAATTCCAATTTTTCATCTTGTATATGTACGCTGGATTAAAAAAGTTTACTACCGAATGGTTGTCGGGATATGCTATGTCTAGTCTCAGTCGTCATTGGGTATTTGCACCATTTCGTTCTGTACTTTCAGTGGATACTATCGATTTATTTATTGTACACTGGTTCACAGCAATTTTTGATTTTTCAATAGCATTTTTGATGACATGGGAAAAAACTAGGGTACTAGCAACTCCCTTTATGCTTAGCTTTCATTTGATGAACTCCCGACTGTTTGTAATCGGTAAATGAATTTAGTTTTGTATGAGAATTGTTTTGTAAGATATTTTTCATTTCAGGTATGTTTCCTTGGGTGTGCTTGGCAGAAGTGCCTTTATTTTTCGGATTTGACTGGCCGCGTAAAATTAGTTTCATAAAATATTTTGGAGTTGCTAAGGAAACTAAAACCATTGATAAAGGAAACCAGTTAAATACTAAGACTAATGTGTTAAATAAAGAGAATCTAGTGGAAGAAATTAAAGAACTCAAAGGTGTCTTATGTTGTTCATGCCAAAAGGAAATAATACAAAAACATAAAACTAGTAGATCTGCTTTATTGCGTAGCGTTGCAATTTTGATTTATTGCGCTTTACAATTATTCTTGCCATATTCTCATTTTCTAACCAAAGGATACAATAACTGGACGAAAGGTTTATACGGTTATTCCTGGGATATGATGGTACATAGCTATGATACAGTAATAACTTCGGTGAAGATAGTTGACAACAATAATGAGAAAGTACACTTTATAAACCCATATGCATATACTGATTATGATCGTTGGACGAAATATGCTGATATGGCAGTACAGTATGCAAAATGTATTGAAAATAATATATTAGAGGATTATGCAAGGGATCCAACATCTACACCATTATCATCTAAAAACTTTTCGATATATTTTGAAATATGGTGCTCTATGAATGGTCGGTTTCAGCAGCGTGTTTTTGATCCACGTGTTGATCTGCTTACGGCAAAATGGTCACCATTTAAGAGCACAACATGGTCTCTGCCGTTATTAAATGAGTTAAATGATATGCGTCCTAAGCTAAAGACAATTGCAAATGAAGTACTTGCCTGGAATAATTATTCAGATGTTGTTTTTGTAGCTGATTTTCCGGGTTTAACTTTGGATAATTTTATATCATCCGATTTGACAAATGTCACACTTACCATATTGGAGGGAAATGTCAGATTCAATAATGATGGTGAAAATGAAACATACTTTTTAACTGCTGGTAAGAGTATTTGTTTAAAGCCTGGTATTACACATCATGTCACAACGGTAGGCTTGAAGCCGTCTTCGTATCTTTACACCTATGTTAATAAGACAATGTTAGAAAGTGATTTTATCATAACTGATAAAATTCCACACTCTAAACCAATCTTACCACTCTGGCCTGAATTTAAAAATCGATTAGATAATTATAAAAAATTTTTAACACATATAGGAAATTGTCTATTATTTTTAATATACGGTGTACCAATACCTATGGAGTTACGCGAAAGAAATTAGTGTGATTGAAGTTGAATTAAATGGACTTAACCAAAATTAATTTCTCAATGAATTTTTTGACATTTGCATTTATGTAGTCATGTAGTTCATAGAAATGTGGTTAGTTGAATTTTAACAACAAATATATAATTATGTACTTATTAATGATTTTTATTAAACATAGGTAGATGGTTAAAAGAAACTTATAAGACACAATTAAATAAATATTTTAATAGATGAGAAAGTCAAATGTAATATGTTAATAAGAAAAATTATGTTTGGGACTCTATCCGGAGATGTGTGCTAAGTATAGCGCTCTGAACAGATGAAATGCACTTGGAACTCCATGATACAACTATATACATAAATATTTGAACAAATCAAATAATCAAATTAAATTTCAATTAACTTTAAAGTTTTCGCAACCTCACGACGAAACCTACTTTCCGATTCTTAGTTGGGGGAGATGAGTGATAATATATTATCTATGAAAATACAAAATATGACTTAGGACCATTGTGAGCTCTAACAGAGAAATGTGATAATGTGTTACTATAATGAAATTACCATTTTATAAAACAATCTCTAAATATCTTTATGTTAAATTATTCTATTTAATATAAATAAATTTTGTATTGAATGTATTAAATAAATTTTCAAGTGTGAAATACTTTCTTAAAATATACATTGGAATTTTTTTTAATTTTTCATATAAATTTGAAAATTTAAATATTTTAAATTAAAATTTATCATATTTGATTTTAAAAATAATTTGTTAATTTCGTCTTATAAGTGGCTTCAAACCTAATTAGTTATATACAAAACTAAATCGTGATAAATGGATAATAACTATTCAAATTTTTTTTAATTTAAAATAAAATTTATTATAAATTGTTGGCATATACGACATTATTTATTTACATTTTTTTTAAATTGTAACTATCTACATAAACATACATATGCATATGTTAAACTCTATTATACTTAATAAAATTTATACACAAATGAAAGTATTGTCTTTAGATTTAAATTATTACAACAACAAATAAAATATAACGTTCTAGTAATTAAAATAAAATAAACTTAAACTACATTTAAGATAAGGCTAGCACTATACAAATAAGTTAATCTTGTTCCCACTTCCTAACTGATTAGTTCCTATTTGTTCTTGATGTCAAATTTGTTGTGTTTGTGTTTCCCAAAGACGTGCATAAAGTCCATTTCTTTTTAGTAATTCAGAGTGAGTTCCACGTTCGCCGACTTTACCATTTTCTAGTACTAAAATTTCATCGGCATCCATAACAGTAGATAACCGGTGAGCAATGCAAATACTTGTACGTCCCTTTGTAGCACGCGATAAGGCTTGCAGAATATTCTAAAATTTATTATAAATTATTTAAAAAATTGTTTATTATCATTTGTTTGTTTATGGATATCAATATTACATCTTTTAATTTTAAAAACAAAAATTTGTGTTGGTTAGGTTAGATAAGGTTGAACTGTAGGCAGAAAGCTTGGTTTTTGAGCAGCAAATACTTCGCTCGGAAAATGTTGATTTAGCTGGTATGACTCATTGATATTGCTTCATATTCAATTACAGGGAGTATGCAATCCATACTATTGTTATTATCTTAGGGTCATTTTTAAAGATTTTAAGATTCAGCATAATATGATTCACTAGTAATATGACAAGTGAGATATAATAGTAGGATGTGTATGATCATATATCTCAATCTGAATATATTAAGCACTTGCTTGGGGATTATATATTTAAAGTCAATTAGATTCGATTATTAGCAGCGTAAACCTATTTTAAAAATTAAAAACGTAGAAATAATGACAAGCAAAAATTAATAATAAGATGTATATGCTACATAACTGACTTTGAATATGATTGGGGAGAAGATTATTCCAGTAGTTAATAATATTATTAGCTACTGAATAATATTATTAAAAATATTATTTTTATATAATACTGTATTTTCGATTTATGTATATACTGATACAGATAGTGCGACAATTCCTTGTGAGCGGCCAAAGTTGGTTCCTATTCACCAGTGGCTTAAAAACCCTATATCAAACTTTAAACACTTTTTTTGAAAAAAGTGGAAAATAGATCCCCTTTTAAAAATATCTATATAGCAAGCTAACTATAGAATCACAAATGCGTACTATATTGTTGGTTAATTCATGTCCTTTGAAAGCTTTATAGATGAGAGTGAGAACAGAAGTCCAAAGTTATTTAAAGTGATTACTGAAGGTTCTACACCATTCTTAACACATGTAACGAGGGTAATGGCAGTGTATTAATTTATTCCATCAATTCTCACCCCTTATTCTGTTATTAGTTTTTATTTAGTGGTGAAAAATTTGGAATCGTTTGACGACAATTAAAAATAATAAAAACAGCATCTTTTGGAAATGGTGAAACTTTAACTGACCAGCGGCATTTGACTTTTAGAGACAAGTTTTATAACGTATTCTTTATCTTTAAAGTGTCTATCTTTAACACTGAATACCAATATGTGAAAATATTGGAAATATTTGCATTCAGTTTAAGAATATCTTATAAAACTAGAAAAATAACTTAGTAGCTTTAAAAATATAAAAACTTTTGTGCTTACATATTCTGTTATTGAATCCAAGCTACTTGTGGCTTCGTCAAATATTAAAATCGGTGAGTTTTTCAATATAGCACGTGCTATTGCCACACGTTGCTTCTCTCCTCCAGATAATTTAAGACCTCTTTCACCAACTTGTGTATCATATTTTTTCGGCCAAACTGTAATCGAATCGTGTAAATCAGCCATACGTGCCGAATTTTCGATGTCTTCTTGAGATTTACTTAAATCGCCATAGTGTATATTGTGTCTTATTGTATCATGAAATAGCACAGAATCCTGCAAAATGTTAAAATGTATAATATCTTATATATTTTATATATATAAAAAGAAATTATAAAAACTATTTCAATACCTGTGGTACAACGGCAATAGATTTTCTTAAGCTTTCTATATCAACTGCACTTATATCCTGTCCGCCAATTAATATTTGACCAGCATTTGGTTCGAAAAATCTATATAACAAGCGTACCATAGATGATTTGCCAGACCCAGAACCACCGACAAATGCAATATTTTTACCAGCTGGTATACTAAATGATAAATCCTTAAATATTGGTTTTCCAGACTCATATTCAAACGAAACGTTTTTAAATTCAATTGATGCATTATTATTGCCCAATGCTAAATGTGGTGCATTTACAGGTACATGTACTTTACTATCTACATTCATCAATGTAAACATTGATTGCATATCTAATAAGGCTTGACGCACTTCACGATACACACTTCCTAAAAATCCCAATGGTATTGATAGTTGAAATAGTAATCCATTAACCATAACCAAATCTCCAACTGTCATATTGCCTTTAACAATTTCATTAGCAGCTAGCACCATTATTATGCTCAGTGCAGAACTGAAGATGGCATTTTGACCAAAATTAAGTAGCGCCAAACTGGAGCTAGTTTTTAAGCTAGCTGTTTCGTATTTCTTAAGCACAGCATTATAACGCCCAGCTTCGAATTTTTCATTATTAAAATATTTAACAGTTTCATAATTTATTAAGGAATCTACAGCTTTATTGCCAGCTTCGTTTTCAGCTTGATTCATGTAAACACGAAATTTTGTACGCCATTGCGTTACAGAAAGTGTGTAGACAGCATAGACTCCTACACAACCCATAGATACACTAGCAAAAGCTAAGCCACACTAAAATATTTAAAATTTTATTAAAAATTTTCTTACAAATTTCGAGACATGTACTTACTTTAACTCCTAAAATACTGGAAACTAAAGCTAATTCAAATATTGTGGGTACTATGTTGAAAACCATGGCTGTTAGCACAAAATTGATTCCTCGTGAACCTCGATCAATTGTCTGAAATTAAATAAAAATAGGGACATTATTTATATATAATATATATATAGAAATATAATAATTATTGACTGAAATAATCAAGAAATAAAAATATCTATAAATATACATTCGAAAAGGGATGTAAGAGCTTAATCCTAAAGCAAATGGATTTTGTGTGACACATAATCACAGAAGGTTTTTAGTTTTCTTCTGAAACCTAACTCTTCACCTTCGGCTTCTCACGCTAGTAATTGTATCAACCCTTAGGCCGCGTCGATATGTTTGAGGTCTTGACCTATACAGTTATTGTTGCTGTAGCCAAATGTCGATCTGAAAGCAAGCACATAAAAGGTTGACAAGCCATTGCACAAATTGAAAGGGTACGTGACAGGGAAAGAAGAAAGTTCAGATAGGTATATTGAATTTCATTTGGGTTCCGGTGAAATAATCCTGCCACCCCGACGGGCGTATCAATTAAACAATACGGTTTAAATGTGTGGATTTCGGAAGAAATCGAATGAGTGGCATTATGTGGAGTATAGCTGTGGAGTATATAGTGAACAAAAAATCAGTTGAAATGATCTACAGGTTTATCCAGACTTTCGGAAAGCTTACCAGTAAAAAATTTTGAGGAGTTCACACGGTCCTTTTAAGCACTTGCTTGTGCATGTAACCAAGGCTGCATTAATTATACTAATACTAAATTTCAAAAAGTTGATGACGATAAATAGGTAATTAGTTATATTCAATACCTGTTACAACCTGATTGTAGTTCCTTACGTCGATAGCTGACATATGGAATTCGGGGGTGACAATTTTATGTTTTAGAGACAATAAAACAGTTGAAATTTTATAGAAGAATTCATTCGGTCTTCAAGGAGCTAAAGAAATGAATGATGACGATTTATTGTAAAGCATTATAACTTCCAAAATATCTTGCCTATAATTATTATGATAGTTGTAGTATATACACGACCTGAGTGGCGTTGTACAACATTTTCAATCAAATAATAATATTATAAGAGTTAAAACAAGCAGTCTGGATGTACATCTTATAAACAAGTCGCTGTGTTTATGGAGTATTCAATATTCAGGTTATTATACCGTTGTTTTGTTTTTATATTATATTTTATAAATTTATTCAATGCCCGCATTTTATATTTTTCTTATATCGATATTATCAAGAGTGGAATGAACTTGAGTTCAAACTAAAGATTTCACTCAAACATTATTGGATTTAATATATAACATTATATCGGGCTAGTTTTTAGGTTAAAACTTTTCAAACTTAATTATACTGTTGATACATCTATTGAACTTGTATCTTTTGCTCACCTTTGATAGGGCGCCAGTTTGCTTATTTAAATGAAATGATAAATCTAAATTATGTAAATGTAAAAAAACATTGGTGGCAATTTTTCGTATGGAATGATGTGCAACTTTGGCAAATACTGCATTTCGTAATTCATTGAAGGCTGCGGCACTTGCACGTGCAACACCATCTGGAGAGGTAGAAAATATATAGAGAGATAACAATAGTCAAAAATAAGCGTATAAAAATTTTATTCACTTACAGCCTATCATCATGGCAGTTGCTACTGATAATACAGTTTCTGGTGCTGTGTCCATATTAAGGGTGCCCATTGCATCAACAGCTCCTTTGAATAAAAATGGAACACAAACTGTTAACACTTTAGAACCAGCTAAAAGTCCCAATGATATCGCAACTCTGTAAAAATAAAGAAAATTGTAATTGCTTATTAAGTAAGTAACATTTAACATTTCTTCTTTGATTTTATTATAAAAAAAGGTGATACCTTTTTCTTACTAATGCATCTTCTTTGGGCCAAATGTAATGCATCATAGCGCGCAGCATATCCTGTGATGTCACTTCAGGTGCATCAAGTGTTCCTAGAGTATTCCCCCCATCACCAGTACCTCCTAAGTGAATATGACATTTTCGTAAGGATTGCCGTTGGTGACCTGTGGGGATTTACTAAATTCAAAAGTAAGATCCCTACAGGACCACAGCCATATATACTATATTACAAGCAGTTTGATGATTGATTTGAAAATAAAAACTGATAAATGTTAGCTTGGAGGATGCACAACAATAATATATTAATAAGAATCATAAAAATATGTGATATACAAAATAATTTTTTAATTTGTTAATTTATGATTTAAAGAAACTGTGTTACAAATTAATTTATTGACTTTTCACACTATTGGTGTCTTACAATATTTATAATTAATAAAGAACTAATAATGTGGTAAAAATAGGTAAAACGGAAATACAAAATTATTTTTATTAAAATCAAAATAAATATAACAAAACTTTTAATGAATGCAGAAAGTATTTGGCAGAGTTTCAAAAGGAGTCCTTAACCCCATTTACACTTCAGTATAGAGTAGGGATTAAAATTATCTAAGACAAAATAGAGTAATAGAGAATAGAGAAAATAACACTTCCTCTTGAAAGTTAAATATTATTTTTTTTCAATCATAATATTATATATGTATATATTTATTAATAATAATAATATATATATATATATTAAATAATATGATATATATTTATATTTAGTATAAATCAATAAATGCTGCAATATCGTTTATAACAAAATTTTATAGTTTTCTTCAACTTTTTAGGAAATTTTGAATACAATAAATCTTATATAAATAAGAGAGCAACTTCTTTCAACCAATTTATTGTACTTACTAAATTTTGCATATATCATAGAAATTTGAAACTGATGAACATAATTCAGTTGTGAGAATTGAAAACAGACTAAATCGATTCAGTTAAACCTCTGAGACTTTACTGGGAAGTTGTTTGAAAATGATTAAACAACTATTTTGTTGTCTATCTCTTATGTGTATCCGAACTGTAGCTCTGCATCTAATGATACCGTCCATCTGTTTTTATGTTAAGTTGACCATACTAATCTCAGTCACATTTATTTAAACGTCTGCTTATAAATCCAATCATATTAACGCAACTTGGTTCCTTTATCTAAACACAAGCTGGGTTCAATATTTTCAACTATCCATTAACAAGTAACAACCTGTTAGCAATAGTTACAAATAACAGTTGAGGGTTCACATTAAACATTTAAATATATCATTTCCAGACATTTCTTTATAGGTTTTAAGTAACGCTCTCTATTAAAAAAATATAAGAAGACCATTCCACAAGAAGCATGTAGCAGCACACTACAAAAATGCAAAACTTCTACATCTTAAGTATTAGAAGGCATAATGATTTTCAGCAATTCAGGACTGATTTCACAATAGATACTTAAATCTCAAAACTGACTTAAGTCAAAAAAGTTGATAGCTTAAGTATGACTGAAGTCAGTATTGAGACATAAAACATCGATGCTTATAGTATTATCTTTGATGAAGCATTCGTAATCTAACCCGGACACAAAAAATAAATTTTGGATTAAGATTAAAAGCAAGGTTTTGACTATATAATTATAAATTAAATTCAGTTCTGTAGGACTATTTTCGTACATATATCTAAGTACAATAAGTATAGACTAAAAGGTTTCACATATCCACCACTAAAATTAGTTTTCTTTTATTATATGCAATACTAGTTTGACCATATAGTGTCACATTCTTTAAAAAAATAATAAGGTTATACATGTTTATACATGTTTATCAGACGCTACTAGCTATTAAGGACTCCAATTGAAATTCCTCACCAAGTGAAGATGGTGACAAATTACTAGTTAATGCACATCTGATTGTAAAGTGTTAGTATCTTTCAAATGCAGAAATTTATTTACAATTAAATTTAGTTAAATACATAACAGATGTGCTGATATAACAAGCAGTTTCTTTATATTTGAACTTACGTTCTTCCACCTTAACAACCTACTTTTGTAACTTACAAACCCAAAAGGTTTTCTAGCCATATTAAGTTCCGAGCAGTTTTATTAAATATTTTTTTTTATTTTAGTATCAATGTTGTCACAGGAGCATCCTTTATAAATATATTTATTATTGCAATTTTTAGTTTAATTACCTTTCGCCGGTACTTTTTTAGCAAAAACTCCACCCAATATTTTACTGCCAGGCGTTGGTGTGAATGGCGTAATTTTTCTTTTCGGTTTCGTGACATCCTCAACAGAACTTGAAGATCGTGTGCAATATATCTAAAAATTATAAAAAAAATGCAATTTTTTTTATTTAAATATATATTTGATAAATTTTTATACATATTAGTAATTATTAGTCCCATGAGAACTGTTGATGGCTGTGCTTAAAAAAGCTAAACATACTGAGTCAAAATAATCGAGGCTGTTATGCTACCAATAAAAGGTGTTGTAGGCCTAGTTTTTTTTTTCGACCAAAGAAGAGTAACATTTCTTCTACTTTTTAGAAGAAAAGAAAATTAAAATATAAAAAAAAATAAGGATATTATGCTGGGAAAACCTATAAGGTCTAATACATTCTAATTCACGTATAAGGGACTGATTTTAACAGGAAATAATTTAAAGATTATAATGAAAATTCTAACAGGACAATGTCGGTTAATTTACCAGCTAAATAAACTTTGAATTGTGAGAAAACGAAAAACATAGAAGACTGTGAAGTACATGGTAGGAAGCTATCCAGTACTATTGAATAAACGAAAGATGGTGTTAGATGGATACTCATCATCTGACGGTGACATGATTAATGTAGAGCATATATTAAGATAGGTATTGAGAAATAGCAGCAACACTTGCTCGTTTGAAAATACGAGTAGTGCCGGAATGTATATGCCAGCGGAATGTACAGCGTAAGCATTCATGGTTTACCTTGCAGTCACGTGCCACAAAAGAGATTTCGCAAGAATTTTTTGTAGACATACTATCTAGGAGCCTGTTCGCCGGAATTTATAGAGAAATGACTTATTGATGCAAAAAAAAAAAAAATGTAATAGTAGGCATTACACTTTTAGTATCTACCGATATATAAGATAACAAAAACGCTCTGCCTAAAAAAATTGTTTAATCAAGAATCGTTCAATATCTTGACAACTATTCATACAAATACCTTTAATCTTATATCTTTTGATTTAATATCTTTTATTTGAAGACATATGCCTTTTATTTAAAAGATTTAATTGGTTTTTTTGGAAACTTTTCGGACCTTATTCATCTATTTTATCAAATTAATGTACTTTTCTAAAAGCAAGACCTATTAGAATTCCAAAAGTGGATTTATAACCACTTTCAACCCAAAAAAATAATGAAAAAATGATAAGTGTTTTGGTTCGCTTCATCTCTGGCGAATTATTCCTCTGCCAATTGATGGTATGAAAACAAGTGAACTGATCTAGTTTCCACAATAATTGTTCAATCACAATTGTGTCAAAGAACCGGAGAGATCTCATAAGCTCCTAGCTACGAAGAACGCAGCAAGAACCCATGCAAATAGTCAAGATGACTTCACTGCTGAAACCACTGATTCGTGAATGATCGGACATTATTTTTTGAACAAATATTGCTACCGACCTATGTATAGCTCATTGCTTAATTTTGTGATATGTAGTACATTTTGGGCTGAGAAATACTTGTATATTAAAAGTGTAAAATAATAACATAATATGTATAATTTAGAATTGATATTTATTAATTTTTGTTTCTTTATTATTTTAAAGGCCAATATTCTTATTAAAAAAATAATTTGCGTAGGTTCCAAATTTTTTTTTATATTTTTAGATTTCTTTTCATCATATATACTTATAATTATTTTGCATAAAAAAAAAATATATTTAAAATAACTTTAACTTTTAAACTTTAGTTTATTAGTTGATTATAAGAATACAAAATTAAGTAATAACTAAATATTAATTTTAATATTTATTATTATTATATTAATATTTTATTTAATATCAATTTTTATTTATATATATTATTAATATTACAAGGCTCAATAAAAAGTTATCTATATCTATCTATATATGTATATATATATGTGGAAGTGTTCTATTAACACATCTATATATGAGAGCTCAACATATAATTAATAAATATATTGTAATATAACTGGTATATATATATATATATCTATATATATACATAAATATATTTACATATGTGTACATTAAAATTTCTCTTTTCTTTTTCAAAACTTATGAAAACTTTAGCATTAAATCAGAAAGATTATAATATTATGAAAAACATCTGTTTAAGAAACTGTGCGTTTTCCAGAGTGTCCATTGAAATATATGACATCATAGACTAAAATTAGCTTAAAGCAGTTAGGAATATTTTTGATCCACCCTTTATTTCAGACAGTCAAGTTTTGTTGTTGTTGTTGTAACCCGCACTGAGCTACTTGAATAGGCGATGACTGACTCAGAGACGTATACCCGGACAATAAAACTAATTTTTATACATTAGCCAAAATTATATGATTATATACTACTTTGTATTATAAACTGTATAAACTACTTTATATACTGTATCCTATAGTATAACTAGCTTATGTACATTTTTAGGAACTCAATACATTCTGTAAGGTAATTCTTTGCCATAGTTGCAGATGCTGTTAGAGTGTTAAGCCGAGACAATTGCTGTAGAAAAGTCGTGTACTCTGAAATTTTATATTCCAACAATAAATTCAGTTCCAATTGTACATCAGCCAATTGTTGTGCATCACCAAATGCAATCTCACTTAATATATTCGGGAAATACGACTCCACTTTAAATAACAAATGTAAGACCAAATGCAGATTGTGTGACATACCTTCGTCAAAGATAATTAACATAGCATCATGAAGGTTATGATCACGTATAAATTTGAACTTATTACGATGGAAGGAGTAACCGTAACCATTTTTGCCAGCCTTGATAAACTTTTCAATATCACTTAGAGTGATAGTAAAGACTTCATGTCTATTACCAGGCAACGAAAAGCCATAATCTGTTAATAATCGAAAATTTGTACACATGCCGTAACTGATGTATAGTTGCTCAAAGGGTTTGGTTGGAAGTGAACTACGTTCTAGTTTTATCATAAATTCCAACTCATTTTTGTCATTAGCAATGACCATAGGACAAGTGTTGATTTTATCGCTGTGATTGGCCATATCCAGAAATGGTGCTAAGGCCATAGTGGGTGCATTGTTCAGTAATTTTTTGAAGAACACACCATTATTTGTTGTCACATAATTAGTACTTAAATGTACTGTACGGGAGTTAACAGCAAAATAGGCCCACTCATATAACTGTATAGTAAAAGTAACATCAAGAAAGTGTAAACCACAACAGGCACAGTGGTTCGTAGCGAGAATTTTTCTTAAATTTGCGTAGCTTGTTTTGATTGTTGTTTTCTGTGCTATTATCTTTTCGAGTAGTTCTTCAGGTAAACAACGCATTTCATCTAACGTACAAAAGTATGGGTTTGTAAAGCTTCTAGGTATTGTTTGGAGGTAAGCGTATAATGGTGACCGCTGCTGCAGATGGTTCTGATAGCATAGATAAAGTGCTAGAAGTTCTTGAAAATTGATACGATTTTCTTCACTGAACTCAACGGAACTAAAAACCTGCTTGAAGTCATCATCTGTCTCTAATGTTGCAATGGTGATGAATGATTTTATTGGTACTTTTATAATGATATTATCATGGTTATTTATTTGTGTTTGCTTGTAACATATACCGCGTCCAGTCTCAGAGAAGTCACGTACTGTTAGTTGACTTTCATTTTTCCAACCTTTCGAATGCATATATTTATATAGATCTGGTAAAAAATTACCTTCTTCATGCGTTGACTTGCGGTGCAGACGCCTACGTACACGTGAAGTGCGACCCATTTTTAATAGATCGTTAGGTGGGAATGTAAGGCTTTAATCTAAGTAATTTAGAAACTTAAAACTTGTACAGCTTTTGTTTTCACAACGGTTAAAGTGTGTTGTTTGCTATTTTGAGAAATCTTTTTTTGTTTTTTTTTACTGGAGTTTGGCAAAGTTAAAACTTTTTTATTGCTTCTTAATCTCTTAAATATTCTGCAACGAGAAAATTAGAAAGAAAAGCAACAATTAGCAACGTTAGCAAGTTTAGGGAAAGCATAAGTTTCATATAAGCCAAACATATATTATTATTGTTTGGAATTGTTTAGTTTAGCATTATAAGTTAACAATTAAAAGTATAAGTTAGAATATTAAAATCGAATTATTTTATTAATGAAAGGAAATTAGTTGATTTAATGGAACTTGATTCCATTAACAGAATACGTGATATTGAAAATTTGAGTTTTTTTTGTAATAATTTGTTATCTACTGTTATCAATTGTGTGCAATTGCAATATATGATAAAACCAAATCTTTTAATTATTATTTACACTAATCTTACATTTGCCAACAATTATTATATATTATTTGAAATCAAAATAATATTATTAATTTTCCGATAAATTGCATATTTACAAAAAAAGGCCAAAACAACACACTTTTTAACAGTTGATTGACCTAACTTATAAATAACAAAACATATTTGTTTTATTTTTTTTAGTTAAATTGCTTAACATATTGTTATGAAATCTGCAATTGATAATTTGGAACCACAGCAAACATAGCCTTGATTTTTTTCTATTATTTTCTTACCAAGTGTGTAATCACACGATTATTCGTAATATTGAATTTATAGAAACTGGCGCCTTTTATGGCATGAAATGTGTTTATCGTTCTTCCTTGCTGTTTACCACAAATTCTTGTCAATTGTACAATTGCAGACATTATTTAATTAACTTTCCTCAGCGTTCTAATATTTTCACTGATTTTACTTAGAACGTGTAATTAAAAAAGTGTCCAACAGCTGTTTAGTTTACGTCACGTAATGTGAAATGCTTAATAACGTAGTTGCGAAACGTCACTTTTAAAGTTTGAGAGTTACTGTACTGTACATTGTGGTTGCTGAACAAAAAACAATTTTCAAAATATAATTATAGTTTCAATAATTGTGAGTAATTATAGTTTCAATTATTATTTATTTAAACAGTTAAAAATGTTTAACTATTTACAAATATATCTTTTAACAAGGTAATTGAAATAATTTATTATTTATTTAGATACTTATATGAAACTGTGTTTTTTTATAGAACTGCACTTATTACAGTTAGTTTCAAATTGGCCACATAAATAGTTTAATATAAAATGCGTATAATTAATGCTGTATGTATAAAAGGTAGGTTAAATACAAATAAATAATTGGTACAAGCTATATAGCATATTTGTAACAGTTTTTAGTAAATTAACAATAATTTAAAAAAAATGAATTTTATATGTTGAGAACCAATTTGGCTTGTTTTCTTGTTCCTTATTGTGGAGCGCAATAAGCACCAAGCGTTGGTGGACCTTTTTTAATTGCGCGTCAAATATTTAAATATATAATTTAATAAATTTTAATAGGCTTCAGTGAACAAAGTATTTAAAATTAAATAAAACTATAATATTTAATATTTTTATTTAGTGTTACCGACATTTCAACGTTTTTTTGACTTTGAAAAAACTCCGAGACGTCGGGACACTGAATAAAAAATATTAAATACAACTTTATATTTTAGTGTTAAATATTTTGTTCACTAAAGCCTATTTAAATTTTATAATATCAAGAAACTATATTTAATATAATATATATTTTTTAATATCAATATATATCTTGTCCACTTTCTTGCTTGCCCGAATATCGTTATAAATTGTTATATACAATACAGCATATCGCATGTTGTTATGAGAAAAAAAAAGAAGAAAAGTAGGAATAAAAACTTGATTAAAATAAAATTCTTTTAATATCAGTAATTTTACGAAAACTTACTAAAAAAATAAAAAAATGGTGATCATATAATATTTAAATTGTGCCACTTCAAACTGAGTATAGGCTATAAAATGTGAAAATCATTCTTGGGTTCATCATGTTGTCTTAAAAAGAATTTTTGAAGGAGATGGAAATTATTGGGAACAAGAGTGGATTATGAACGGATGTGATTTTAATTAAAACTAACCGGTGGTAATGTGAAGAAATCTAACCACTTCAATAGAACGCAGCCAAAGATCAATTGGACTAAAATTGGTATGTGCACTAGGACATGAAAATAGAGGTGCGACTTTATAGGAATAGAGCTGGAGTTAGCGTATATATTAGAAATTGACATATTAATGAGTTCGTTATCGCTGTTGTAGGATATAAATATGGTGAAGATTTCAATATTAAGTTGAAAGATGAGCTCTAGGTCTACGATGACCAAACGTCGCTCACAATCTACATTTGAGTTTAAACAAATGCACAATGGAAAAACACGCGTTACAACAACAATACTCAAATGTCGAATGGAGTGGAACACCATAAGAAAGAAGGAACTGATGTCGAGAAAAGAGCATGCGATTCAATATAACCTGTACCAATCAGTCGTGCGCAGATTAATATGTTCAGCGCGAATAATTTGGAGGGAAGCTGTAAATTTAGAGCTTTGTTTTATTAAAATAAATCAATTCATGCTTGAACGTAATATTGTAAAGAGTTATCATATATGTGGTGTCAATTTTTGGCAGCTTTGTTTCAGTTACATATGGACCTCAAATATAATTATTATCCAAGGGCATCAAACGTTTAGTTTAAAGTTTGCCATTTTATAATATGAATCCTCTAACAATCACTGAATACGTTGAAATCATTCTTTTGTGGGGTTGTGCAAGAAATTTTTCTCTGGACATGGCATTGCATATTTTAGTGTATATCTCCACTAAGAGAAATATGTTACTACATAAAGTTACACACGAGAAAAATATAAAAAATATTTTGTGTCAGCTTAATATTAAAAGAACATTTATTTTAAAATTAAATAAATAAAAATTATAGGGGTACTTATTTAAACTGATAAATGCCTTATAAACGTATAAATTTATGTGCTTGGTAAATGATGTGTCAAATTTTGCATGAAAAATAGTTTACACAAACTTGATAAATTTTTATAATTTAATTTACATAATTATTGTGATATAGTGATATAAATAGTGCTATTATACAGCAGGTTGATAAAATTACACAAATATTTCACTAAGTGCATTTACATTTAATAAATGTATATGCTTAGAAGAGTACATCTTATGTAATATCTAATAAAGATCTATTTCAAATATATAAAAGTATTAAATTAAATTGAAAAAAAAAAAGAAAAAAAATTTATATTGCCTTAGATATAAAATTACAAATTGTTAGTAACATATTTGCACTGTCAGAGAAATGCACAAATAAGGTGTTAAATTCAATTTACATTTAAATATAAAATGCTTCAATAAACCCTCACACACTTGTTTAATTTTACCTATTATTTTGCAATATACATAATAAAATATAATATGTAACTAAAATTAAACTAAATTTATTTACTTCACATATTGCATTTAATATGCAGCGTCGGTTGATGCTGTCCGCTGTTCAAAGCAGCTTTGTTTAAAAATTTCAAAAGCACAAATTAAATTTAATTGTACTTTGTTTAGTATTGGTTGAGAATACTTTTTGTTTAACAATTAAACCATTTTTAGCTCTCAACCGCATAGAAGGATTCAATATTTCCAGAAATTCGGATTTTGTTCCAAGCGTCTTTGAAAGTTTGTGTACCAGTTTTGCACTGTAGAAAATGGCACATACGTACCATTGGAAGGCAGTATTTGTTGAGGATTTACGATGAAACTTGATATATAATTAAAAAAGTTTTCCAACATTTTTTGTCCAAATTGTAAATGCGTTGCTGTGGTCGACTATAAAATAAATAATCTGTATTAGTCATATGTTCAAGACATTATATTTTACTATACCTACCACAGCTGGTGTTAATTGTGACAACGCGATTTCTGGCTCTACAGAAATACCAATTTGTGCTATATGAGATATCGTTGGTGAACCAAACACCATACCATTTTCTTGAGCTTCGATTTCGTGACTTTTCTTCAATTGTGATATTTTGAAAATTGCAGATGGTTTACAATTGGATATATGTCCTAAAAATTGCCAAGTTGGCACTGTATTTGCATCTGGCCAACTAAAATAGACTGCTGCTGCCATACCTTCCGGCAATGGAAGTTGGCCTGTCAAGAACACAACAATATAATTGACATTATCAATGTCAGGCACATTTATTAACAGTTTATTTTCATCCACAGGTGTGAAATCTGTTTGTGGCTGTAAAAACGAAATAGCATTATTGCTTTTTATTGTGCTTTTTTATTTTATTTGTGTGAAACATACCAATCTACCAGAAATGATTAAACCAAACATTTTGTATTTTAATTTGTACTCCTTTCTTTTATCAGACGCTTCTAGAACGAATTTCAGTTTTGGCTTTATAAAGCGGCGATAATAAGAGTAAACACATGTTTTTATGTTTGTTTCTAAAATGCGATTCACAATAATATTTAAGGTCATTCACAATTTTATTTAAAGTTTTTTAAAAAAACCAAAATTTATTATAACAAAAATACAAATATAAAAATTAAGTAACAAATATACAAATACAAAAATTAAGTAAGGAAGTTTATGAAAAAATGCATATATTTAGCTATTAGGGTTGTTCACGAGTTCGAGTAACGCGCTCGCTAACCGAGTAAAATGTAAAAGTGTAAAAGTGTAACCAGTTACTCTAACTCATGAGCACACTTGATGGTGTCGATTTGTTAACAACAGCTGTTAAAATCAGCTGTGTTTTGTGTTTTGATGAATTTGTAAGTTATTGTGAAAACAAACGAGAATTTAAAATAAATATAAATATTACACTAAAATTAAGTGAAAAAAGCAAAATTGCAGAGTTTGAAATTGGTTGACTATTTTTCAGCAAATATTTTTCACTACGAAAATAAAATAAGCAAAATGCAAATGTAAAACAAAAACGCAAAATATTTTGATTAATTATGCTTATGACTCTACACCATTGTATTGTTTGCGGTTTTGTTATTGCATTTGCATTTTGGCTATTTTATTTTCGTAGTCAATAATAATTGTTTGAAAATAGGCAAGTAATTTCAAACCCTGCAAAATTATTGGAATTTCGATAAAAATAGTAGGGGTATTCAGGCAACTGATTAGTTGCTTAGTTGATTCAAAAACTTCATATAAAAAAAATTTAGCATTTTGATGTTAAGCAGTTGCTTGAACGATCCAAAATGCGTAATCTGATTAGTTTGTTGTGTGCAAATGCCTTGGCAGCACTCGTATTAACAGCAACAGCGAAACGTATGTTAACAGTGAAATACTCAAATATTCGTAAATTTTAATATCATTTAAATTTATCACATAATTTATCATATAACTAAAATTGCAAACGTGTCATATATCAAGAAGTAGAATATTCAATTTTATACTTTTTAATTATATTTTAACCCTTTAAAAATTATAGTTTTACTGAATTTTATTTATTAATTTATGTTATTATTTTTGCATTTTCTTTTTAAGACACCTTATGCTTATAGCGCCGACACTTGGTTCTGGCAGCACTATTAATCAAATTTTCACTAATCTGAGAATCTCCGAAATAGTTGATTCTCTGCTTAGTTTTATTTTTGTATGCAAATTTTTGTTGTAATCAACTACTAAGCAACTAATCAGTTGCCTGAATACCACTAGTATCAACATTTTTTAATCTTTAAAATTTGACATAATTTAATGTATGTTTTATTTTTTAATCATATTTTGCAGCAATTTTTGTACTGTTTTAAATAAAAATAAAATAAAATAAGCTTTGTTCATTCTTATTATTAAATATTTTTTCATTACGACAAAAATCAAAACTTATACTACGTTCAGACACACCTTAATTTCGCAAAAATTAACATGTATTTTGTTGTTGCTGTGTTGCACTGTTAATATGTTACTCGGTAACTGAGCGTGTTACTTAAACTCGTGCAACAACCCTACTATCTTTTAAGTTTTTAAAAAAATTAAAGCAATAATGAAATTAAAATGATAATGTTTTGCATCGCTAACAATGAAAACACAATCAGCGCGAGATTAGATATTGAAAATTGGTAGTGTGGAAGTTAATTATTTTTCTGATTACTTTAAATAAAAGCCATAAATTATATTATCGCTTAAGGATGACGCATTCTTTATTTAAATAAAATAAAACTAAGACTAACTATAATTGCATAATCCGGTATGCAACTGTTAACAGCTAAAATCAACACAACGTGCCAAAAAGTGTCCGGATTATGAAAAAGAAACTTTGCGAGATGTAGCAATTACTTATGCTAATAAAAACAACGGCGAAGGAAAAACCAGTTTTAGCAACTCCACTGAAACTTAATTTATACTGAATAGACAAATATATGTGGAACATAGACATCAAAACTATTTGAAGGTTTGGGAGCGATTACCGGTACTAAGTCGTCTGAAGTACATTCGACGAGTACATCTGGGACGTAGATTTCACTGCAATTAGAACCTGCAACGAAATTACTCGTATGAGTAATTATAAATAAATTTGTAAGTTCTTATTGACACAAAATACAGTAGGTTCCAGAAGACGATACAGGAAACGGAGTAAATTGTTGATATATAAAAAATATACATAATATTTTTAAGAAATTTTCGCTTAAATACGGTGCTCTGTAAAAAATCAAAAATTGTTTAAAAATATCAATTTTGAATAAAATATATGAAGCATCAAACTTATGAGTTAAAGGACTGCAAATTGGTATATAACTTTTTAGAATCGACTAAAGCATTTCTAAGATATTAAGGGTTTTTAAATTGATGACTTCTTTCGGATAGACGACTCTGTGAAATATTATAGGTAAATATTACAAACAGACTAAACAATCACTTCCAAAACTGAAAGCACTTTATAACGTAATTATATTAAATTATAAATTTAGTCTACTAAAGTATAAATATGTCGGGTGTAGATAGATCGATTTGTCTCATCAAGCTGTCCAAAATATGTCTATATAATGGAATTAACGGTACTGCCTTTTTGTATTTTGACTTTTTGATTAATTTAATATATATGTAACTTTTACTGTAAGGATGCAGATAATAGCAAATATGATTATCTTTAATTGATGCTATAGATAAACAATACTACGATTGAACTTAACAAGTAAACAATAGAAACAAAAACATTTTCCTGAGTTTTTCAGACCTTTAAACTACCACGATTTGTTTCATTTTGGTGTCACCATATCCATATTTTGTAACCTATGTAGATTTGAAAAATGTTGGTCTTCATATATAAAATTATAATATATGATTATATAAAAATTTAATTTTAATTTTAAGTAAATATATATTTGACAATTTTTGAAATATTGGTTTGTTAAAAAATATAATTACTGTTGTAATGAAATTTATATACGCAAAAATAAATATATGGTCTGTAGTCTATAGACTTTACACACATTTGTAAACATACAATAAACATCTATAAATGCTGGATGAGAATATGTGATAAGTGAATTTTCGATATACAAATATGATATATTATTTTAATTGAACTTAAAAAAAATACAAGTATATATTATTTCTTAGTGGGTGGGTTTGTTCCAGTGGGTGGTTTTGCTCCAGCGGGTGGATTTGATGCTGCAGGTGGTTTTGTTCCAGCGGGTGGATTTGATGCTGCAGGTGGTTTTGAACCTGAAGGTGCTGGTTTTGGTGCTGCACCTCCTGCGGGTGGTTTTGAACCTCCTGCTGGTGGTTTTGCACCTGCTGCTGGTGGTTTTGCACCTTCTTTGGCCTTCTTTGCAGCCTTATTCTTTGCACTCGCTTCTTGGGCTTTTTTCTTTAAAGCCTCCTCTTTTTCTTTTAACTTTGCTTTATTTTCTTCTGTCAACTCACCCAAAATACTTGTTATGAGGCAATCAAATTCCTTGAGATGTTGTTTTTTATTACCAGTAGATGAAGCTGCCAACGGAGGTCGTCCTCTGTAGTCTATAGCTCGGATATCACTAAAATCGCATTTAATTATAAAAAATGTTATTGTATATTATATTTAGATGGTTTATAATATATTGTATCATATTTGTATTCAAATATGAATTTTCAAAATTCATATTCTAAATAATCTCATGTGAAATACTTTGGTTCCATATGATCTAATAAAATAAAATTTGTTATATGTATATCTATCTTACGTTTATGATTGTTTTTATTAAATGTTAAAAAAGTGATTCATTTTTGAAGTTAATCATGCTTGGGTGTAGTAAATGGATTATTATTAATAATGTAACACGTAAGAGATTACAGAGTGAAAAATATTGGCTGGCTTAAAACACGTCAAAAGTCGATATTCCCTCAAAAAGTATAGTATTGTATAGTATTGGGATTCCAAGGAAATGGTTTTTTTTTTCAGTTGGACAAATTTAATTTCCCATGGAAACATAAAAGAATATAATTCATAAATAGAAGAGATATAGCGTTCACAAGTATCACAGTTCATATAAGAAGTATTACCACATGCGCGTTATTCTCCAGATCTAATAAATTCCGTTTATTACTTGCTCAAAGTCTTTAAAAAATTGTTTAGATTGTAATGTGTCTAATTAAAATGAGTACAAATTGGTTCTGTGTGACTGCTGTGATCCAAGTTTTTTTGAGCATGGAATTATGCTATTATCAAGAAAAAAAGGTATTAGACAAAATAAAATCTAATAAGATATTTTTTTTACAATTATTATTAATATAAAAATAATTATTTTATTTTTTTATTAATAAAAAATTATTATTAATCTAACAGTTTGTTGTTGATAATTTCTTTATGGTTATTTCTATCGGTCTAATTTCTTTAATAATTCATATAAATTAGTAATTTATTCATATAATTCATATGTATACATAAAAATTAATCTGTATACATCTCAGTTTTTTCTAAGCATTAATTATTTAGTTCTCTCAAAATGTATTTATGTGAATGTTGGTAATTAATTCTACTGACTTAATAAATCTAAACTATTCATATTAACAATTTCTTATAGTTATTCTGTTATTACAATATATAAATTAAAGTATTAAAAGATATTTCTGTTCAAGTTTTAAATAGTTTTAAATTATGAAGACTTACTCAATAGATCCTGCATCTATTATATGCATTATTAGATCGGCCCAATTTGATTCACAAAAATCACTGAAAAATAATAAGTAAATTTAAATTTTTTTACAATTAATTGTTATAAATATTTTAAAGTTAGATATCTTATTTTAGACAGCTTTCGAAATTAACTTTAATTATTTATGTCAATATTATAAATAATAGAAATACAATATATATTGGTATTATTACAATATATATATTGTTATAAGATCATACCAATGTATAACAGTTCTAAATTATATATTATAACAGTTTAATGAAAAATTGGCAACATTGCAGCACATAATTTACATAAACAAAACTATATTATGTGATAAAGTTTGCCAAAAAAAAGATATATAAATAAAAAAAACAAATAAAATTAAAACAATTTAATTCTTGAACAATAGAAAATTTTTTATTTTTTTATTGCGGTTTCTTGTCGCCGGAAAAGTCAAATTGGCATACGTAAGGAAATATATTTTAAATACAAAATGTTTCAAGTACCAGAAATGTATATGAGCGTCCACTTCAAAATTAAAAAGGGTTTTTTTTTTTTATATATTTAAAAGATCAAATTTTATCAGGAACAGTTATTGAACGGAAGAAGTACACAGTATTTATATCTTGACAATTAGACTGGATTATATTGTGCATGTAAAAAATAATAATGAAAACTTTAAGACTTAGCTTTAAACTAATGAAGAAATGAGAGTTCTTTGAGAATTAGTTTCATCTTTTATGAAGGAAAGTATTTATCTTGTAATTGTTATGGTTCTATCTGGAAACGTATATCCAAATAGTTTTACGAAAACTTATTTGTATAATTTTACTTAGAAACAGCGACTAATCTATGGAAGTGATAAGATTCAACTAATCGTTGAGAAGTGCAGTTGCAAGTGACAACTGGGATGCGCACATTCCAGCCGCTTATAAGAACACTAGCCCTAATTACTGGTAGCATTACAATTTTATGAGTTAGACAGTCTTTTATAAATCTACACTTCATTTATCTTAGTTTATTTGTCGTGAATCAGTTAACCTGTAGCAATTTTTCTAAATTCACTTTTACATTTGGAGAACTTCCTTACCAAAAAGTTATACCATACCATTATGGGTGGTATGGTCAAGTAAAATATTTATAAATATGCAATATATGTGATAAAGTTGTTAGAAACTAACGAAATAATTTGGGTTTCGCATCGTATTACTATAGAATATTATTATTTAAATTTGTAATACAAAATTTGTATAAAACATGTATATATAATATTCATGGTATGCTTGAGACCAAAGCCATTGAGTATATTTACAGCTGTGTAAGTGAGAAACCTTTTTACTATATTACCTAGCAAACATTGAATTCTAGTATGGAAGTGACTAAATCTGACCTCATAAATATAGTAACCACATTTGAAAAGAAATAATCTTTAAGAAAATATTTCACTGACATACTAATCCTATTTTAACAGTGTAGTCTAGTTGATATTGATTTCATATAATAAGCTAAGAATTAATTTTTTAAAAATGGTATTTACGTTAGTTATTTCCATTTATTTAATTAAAAAAATATCTAATTCTATTTTATATATAAATCAATTCATTTTATACACAAAACATCTCCATTCTAAATATAACCCAGTCAGGTTTTTTTAATAATCTATTTGATTACATTAATTGCTAAATTTAAGTTAAAGCCTGAGCTTTAATTGTTAATAAATATTAAATGTGTTATGATTTAACTAGGCATACGTTGTTTTATGTAACAACAAAGTCATTATTACAATAAAAATTCATTTATAGTCGAATACCGGCTATACAGAAGAGACCCCCACTCAATCTTGCCATTATATCAAATTAGTTATAAGCAATCAGGTATAAATTAAAACATTAAAAATGTAGTTATGTATATAAATTATAAACATTTTTAAACGATCGCATGTGGGTATATGTTTTACCAAATTTTACTTAAAGAGACTGTCGTTAAATCCGGTTTGGTTGTTATATTAGCTATTATTATAAGTATCATCTACTGTATTGAAATAATAAATGTCATTTATTACAATAATAAATGTCATTTATGACAATAATAAATGTCATTTATTACAATAATAAATGTCATTTATTACAATAATAAATGTCATTTATTACAATAATAAATGTCATTTATTACAATAATAAATGTCATTTATTACAATAATAAATGTCATTTATGACAATAATAAATGTCATTTATGACAATAATAAATGTCATTTATGACAATAATAAATGTCATTTATTACAATAATAAATGTCATTTATGCTAATAAAAAATGTCATTTATTACAATAATAAATGTCATTTATGCTAATAAAAAATGTCATTTATGACAATAATAAATGTCATTTATGCTAATAATAAATGTCATTTATGACAATAATAAATGTCATTTATGACAATAATAAATGCCATTTTTGTAATAAATGTAGTTTATTACAATATATAGCAATTATTTTTAATTATTATAATTAAACTTATAAGTATAATAATTTGTATACATTTATAATTATTATAAATGTCATTTATTAAAATAAGTAACATATATTATATAAAAGTCATTGTTATTATATAGAAATAGCTATTAAGAACAATTTCCGGCAATCCCTAAGAAAATTTTTTTGTCTACGTCTTGCTAATTCCTTATATGCATTTTCGATTACTAATAAATGTAAAATCAACATGGGTGATTTGAAAAATTTAGTTTCATTATTTTTTATTTTTACTTATTTTTGTGCAATTAAATTTGGTTGTAATTAAAGAAATTTAGTAGCGAATCTGAATTATTCAAAATAAATCGGTTATATGAAAATGTTTCAATTTAGAATATGCGGTTAATACGCAAGTTTTGGCGACGAAGAGTGAACCAAATAAGTGTTTAAATAAGAATATTACAATTAAAATCTTAATAAATATTTTTGAGAGATTTCTAAAATGTGACAAACTAAAAAAATAATTTAATTTTCGTTGTTGAAAGTACTAAAGTAAATTAATTACAAACGTGAAATAAGTGTTTACTAAATATAAAATTTAAAATAAATTTTAAATAATTAAATAAGCTATATATTTACTAATAAAAAAACAAACAAATAACGCGTCACAATAGGTCAGTTACAGTCAAAAAGTGTATCAAATGCGTCAGCAGTGACGACAAACGTTCGCCAAGTTGAATCGCGCGGTACAAAGATGTTGGAAATAGATGCTTTTAAAGATACTGATATCGGAATCAAAGAAACTATAATTAAGAGTAATTATTCTAATTTCAATGAAGAAAATATTGAGTATGATTCCGATGAATTTAGTGAAGAAAAAGCAGATATGAATATTAAATTTCCCATACATCATCATCGTCAGTTAGCGCTACAACGTGGGATGGATTTTCCCATTACCAATATAAAACTTAAGGAAAATCAATTTCAAGATATATACATAGAAAAAACTATGGAATTTCAAAGAAATATTAAAAAAATTATTCATCCACGAAATGATAAAAGTTCTATAAACACTAATAAGAAGGAATGTCGAGAAATACTAAGATGTTTTCCACAAAAAATTTATAAGAAAAATAAAGAAACTAAGTTTCCGTTAATAGATGTTAAAAAATTTACGGATTCTAAAGAGAACGAAGTAAATATTATTACATTTCCATTAAAACTTACTACTATATTAGAACCATATAGAGTGCATAAAATACGTTTCCCTTGCAGTTCTTTTGGATTCGATGTTAAAAACAAAAATTTAGATCTGAAGCCAGCAGCCATTAAAAATGTATATGAATCAAAAATAATGGATCTTGCAATTACCACGAAAATTCAAAAATTGCCTATACTTTATGTGCGATTTCCAGTGAGTACTATTAGAAATGTATCCAAAACAAAATTTCCTATACAAAATTGTGATATTGTTTTGCAAGATGTAGACAATTTAACAAAGAATCGATCATTGGAAACGATTTATAAAACTTTGGAAAAAAGATTCCCTTTAAAGATTTCAAAATCTGATTGTTCCATGATTGCATTTTTTCCTGTGAATATTATTACAAATCAGTGTGAAATCCATGCTTTCACTAATAATTATTTTAATGGCTCTGAAAAACTTAAAAAAAATAACTGTCTTCGGAAAGGAACAGAAGAATGCGATAAACGAACAATGTTGTTGCTGATATCAGAAAGTGAACCAATCACATCAAGTGGAGAAAAGAACCAGAATTTATTAAGCCTATCAAGATTTCCAGTAGGAACTTTTATTAAAAAGAATTATTTTAATTTTCCTATACTGGAGAATGGTTTTGTAACAGAATTATTGGAGTATAGAAAAGATATGGAAGTCAAGTTTCCATTGGCAAGTATAATAAAAAAATCTTTAAAGTTTCCAATTGCCACTTTAGAAACTAATTATTGTTCTGTAAATTGCAATTTAGAACAATGGGAACCTGACAGAATTCATAGTTATTGTTCTATTAATAGCAATGCAGAACAATGGAAGCTCCTATTATCTAAAAGAATGGGTGTTAAAAGGGAAGAAGATAATATTTTATTTTTGAAGCAATTTCCTTCATGCCATTTCGAAACTTCAATAGTTCTGGCTAAGAAAAAGTGCAATAGAAATAAACTAATGGTCAATGTGTTTCCATTAAGGTTCCCAGCAGATGAAAATAATAGTCAATTCCCATTTATTCAACAAAACCTTATTTCACTACGTGCAGAGCAACAAGCTATATCACAGCATTCAACAGCTGGCATACTAGAAAAAAATATCTGGAAAGAATCTGTCACTGCAGTTCAAAGTAATTTTCCGGTTACGTGCGTGATGTCAATGGATATGCCGATATTTCCGCAATCCTCTCAAATATCGACTCGTATGTTTACTTTAAAAATACCACAATACTCAAAACCCAATTTGTCTTCATCTTTAACGGATTTTTATATAAATAACAAAAATATTGTAAACAATCAAAATAATAACAACGTAAAATATAAACAATTTCCGCTACGACTACAACAACACCTACACTTACTGAAGCCCACTTCCTTTCCGAGTCATATAAATAAATATTCAAATGCACGTTTTATAAATACCCAGATAGACTTTAATCATAAATATGATGTTATTTGTGGTGATGTGTTTGCTTTGCCAAATGAAAATAAAAAAAATTCCACTGACAAACAGAAAACTATGAAAACAATATCACCAACAATGACGCAGTCGGAAAATTTCTATAGAAGAAATATTCATCTAGGGAAAATTCAAGTTCAACAGAATGAGCAAGTTCAAGAAGAAAATTTTTTAAATTTGAGCACACGAGCTGAGCAAAAAAGTAATAATAGCTGCGTTCGAGAAGAACAAGAGCAACAACAACAATATGAAAAGACCAATGATGACGTCAAATTGTTAGCAACAAATTTAATAAATATTACTAAAAATATGAAAAGATGTAGCGATGAGCAACAACTGGCCCAGAGTGAGAGCAGTGATTTGCTCTTTCAACAAGTTATTAATGATGAAGATGAAACGTTTGCAAAAACAACAACTAAGACTAAAACTAAAACTAAAACACCCGCAATGAGTAAAAATCTAGCACATTTAGATATAATTTATAAAAATATGAGCCATCAAATAGCTAACTCTTCGAATGATACGCTCAATGCTATAGCCACCTTAGACGTATTGATCGACCACCAGCAAATATGCTCAGATGTGCGCGATACGTCTTTGCTAGTAGAGGTACCAGTTGCTGTAGGTACTGCGTCGGAAACATATCCATCAATACGTTTAGTACTAGCGCAGGCCATATCGCATGAGAACTCATTACACAAAGCATCGATTTTAGAAAAAACAGAATCATCAGCGGCAGAAGTGACCAAGAATGTTTCAGATTGTGCTACAACTGAAAAATTGACTAAAGAAATTCAAGGTCTTGGAAAAAATATAGATGAATCACGACAAACGGAAGTGATTAATGAAAAGTGCGTGAAAAGTGAAAAAACTGACATGACCATTACGAAATCAATTAGCGTAGAAAGTGAGGAAGAATACATAACTGAATCATTAACGAGTTCCGGTATTGGTGCGGAAGAACTTAGTGAAGTCGAAGTTAATGAAATGAAGTACGAAATGAAAAGTGCTGGAAGTGCTACGACTCAAGGTCGTTCGAGCTATAAAAGTGATGTTCCATCATCTTTAACTGTACGTAGTAAAACACCGAATAGTGGTTTAAGCGATACAAAGAACATAAATAACGATTACAGTAGTTCTCGATTAAAAAATGAAATTGTAACACCAACACAAACGCGTCTGAATACTTCTATAGGTTTTAACAGCAATCGCGTTAAAATTGATCCAAAAAACCCGGAATCCGTGCGTACAGGTACTAATGTCGGTTACAGTAGTAATGCCGGTGTGAAAAGTGAGCCTATTACACATAATGTAACTACTGGTACCACTAATACTTATAACAAACATAATTCTAATATTTTGAGTTCCACTCATAATCCACCAATTACTCCATACAATAGCAAAAATGATGTAATTCAATCAAGTGTTCCACGTCGAAGCAGTGCTAGTGCTGCACCCACAAAGCGTGGAGTTATAGATTATACTGAACTAGGCTTACGTGATACTACTAATAAGCGGCATAGTTCAGGAATGGACTATACTAAAGACTTATCTGAACGTGTTATACGAGAAACTGCTAACAAAAGGCATAGTACAGGTATGGATTATACTAAGGACTTGACTGAACTTGGCGTACGTGAAGCTTGTAACAAAAGACATAGTACAGGCATTGATTATACTAAGGATTTAACTGAATTTGGTTTACGTGATGCTGCTAATAAGAGATATAGTACTGGTATTGATTATACTAAGGATTTATCTGATTTTGGTACAGTAAAAACTCCACGGAAGGAAAGTGAAATAAAACATTCCTATTCGGTTGATGCTATGCCATCGTCGCTATCAACGAGTACGCGTTTGAGGCGCCAACGCCGTATGTATTCACAGGACTCCGCCGACGATTCCGAAAGTGCACTTGAAAAACTGAATCGTTTACGTGCGCGTATATCGGGTGCATTAAGTGAAGTAAAAGGAGTACTTAAACAATATAGCACTGAAACGGAAGCTGAATCTGATAATACGTTGGATAATAAAAACTTATTGGAGTCAAAAAAAGTTGATGATGGACCAGTACAATTTCGATTTGTGAAGAAGGTGCGTAGAAGGAGTTTTTTCAATGAAGCAGATGAAGATGCAGTAAAAACTGTGGCAGAAAATAATGCAACTGAAACAAAAACTGAAGCGATGAATAGTGAAATTGTTTCAAATAAAAGTGCTGAAGAAATCAAACCAATCAATATTAATGAAGACAGTCAAGATTCGGAAAGTGGTAAATTGCTAGACTTAAAAACTGTTGCTGCTAATGAAGAATCATTAGATTTAATAAATAAAAATATAAAAGATAATTTGTTAAAACAAAATGATGAGAATAATAATGAAGCTAAAACTGTAAGTGAAAATGAAAAATTAGAGAATAAAAGTGATGAATGCTGTAATAAAATAAATAATAATCACATTACAAGTGAAAATCAAATTTCAGAACAAAATTTAACTTCAACCATAGATGAAGTTGACAAAGCAGTCTCGGGTAGTGCCAAAAATGATTTAAATGCCCAAATACAAGTAGTGGAA